AGAAGAAGAAGTTAAAGTTGGAAACAATTCCAGAAGAAGAAGTTAAAGTTTGAAACAATTCCAGAAGAATAAGTTAAAGTTTGAAACAATTCCAGAAGCTGAAGTTAAAGTTTGAAACAATTCCAGAAGAAGAAGTTAAAGTTGGAAACAATTCCAGAAGCAGAAGTTAAAGTTTGAAACAATTCCAGAAGCAGAAGTTAAAGTTTGAAACAATTCCAGAAGCAGAAGTTAAAGTATGAAACCTTTATACAATATAAAACCAGTCCTTCAAAAATTGTCCAGAAGTTTATGAATATTTTTGGAAGGTAATTTCATTTCTTATTAGTACTGAAGATATTCTTTTCTCTATATGCTATTTATCAATGACTGTTGATGTTATCTGGAGCTTTCTGTAAAACAACTAACATCTTACATTTACAGTATAGCCAGATTAAAACAACTAAAATCCACTGGAGCTGATGGATGGGTTTAACAGGTAAGTAGTTCAGTAGCCACTGATATCAGGCAGAACTACTGACCATCTTCAGACAGAACTAGTGACCACCTTCAGACAGAACTACTTATTTTCTAAGTAATAAAATTATATTCTGAATTTCTATTACTGTATGTCCACGAGTCTCGACAACACAGGATTTAAATTCCTTACCTCCACATTCTGACTCACTATGGGTGATGGACGCTGGGTATTTACTTCTGTCTATACACCTGGACAACTCCTTGTAATGCTGACTAAGCACACTCTCTCCTTCAGGAATTGTAGGCAGGTCTTGTGGGGTGTTCGAAGCAGAAACTGGTTTCCCAGAATCCACCATGATATATTCAGAAGTGTCAAACATTTCTGTTGAGCACCAAACTTTTAAATGTTGCTTTGCCAAGTGTGTCTTGAGTTGATGGGCCTAAAAGAAATTCAGATTTTAGTCTTCCAATTTATCTTGAAAGTTTCCATAAACTTACATACACAAATATTATTATTCAGAGGTAATGTACAAAAAAAAAAGAATACTTAACACGTTAATTCTTACCTAGTCCTTCGACGTACACTTAATTATATTGTAAACTTGTAAGATTAAAGATATATCATATTGTCGAACAATTCTGAATCAGCCACATAATAATTAAGAATAATATACAAATGAATAAAATGTAACAGACATAACACACGTCTTTGGCACTGTTAACTAATTAATTAATCAAATCGGATCATACCAGTAGTCTCTGGCTAGGGTGGGCACTGATAACAACAAACTTGCTGCTGTCCATGTCTTCCTGTTCTTTTCCCGTGTCATACCAAACTTCGGTAGGACTAGAGATGGAATTGTACATTCCCATCTGTAGAAATGATCCCTAAAAACGTTTTTGGATATTAATTAATTATGATAATTAACAGAGTAATACTAGGAGTAATTGCCATAACATCCTGATGTAAGTGTAGAAATGAAGGATAGCTTTTCGTATCGATATATCTTGTACTAGTAACATTAACTTCACACACGGTTACGTGAACCAACAAATACAATGATAATTTGTTATTACTTTATATAGTAGAAATAATGTTTTATTTTATTTGACTTACAATTACTCTTCGCCACAATTCAGCGTCGTGAAACAACAACAAAATAAAAACAGTGTCGCTGTAACAAGCGATTTTGTTTCACAAACTTATCATTTATGGACATCTTATTTTTGTATTTTCTGGGTACTCAACTGAACTTTCACAATAGAGACAAGTGCTCTACTCATTCTACTAAAAGAGTTAACTATTACTAGTAAGTTACTCCTTATTTAACTTAAGCTACTACGTTCTTACCCCCTCTTACAAACAAAGCTCGTCCTCAAGCCTTATCTCAGTCACTGGATGACCACTAATTATGAGCTAGATGTAAAAAATGTATTTTTTTTATTAGATCAAACTGATAATAATTAAAATATCCTGTCTATATCATAAACTCTGCTACTGACCAAATGACCTCCTTGGAAACAATCTTTGGCAGACAAAATATAAACACGAAAACACTATTTTTACTCGTTTCTAGTACAAAAATCGTAATGAACTAATTGGGAAGGATGTAATAAAACAGATGTGTAGTTAGATATGACGTTTCATCTCATTTGTTAGGCTTAATAGACTACTTTCTTGTCTCAGCTTAGTTATTTTACCCCAAAAGTCCAGTCATTCTTGGTGAACTCTAATTTTGGGAAATAAATTTACAAAACATTCCTGAAAATCTAGAATAAATGGGCTCTTAACCTGATATATATATCCGGTTTCATTACGAGGGGCAGTATTTAAACTAACCATGTAACGATCTAGAATGACTCGACTATCAACCTCATACATCAGGTTTCATTACGAGTGGCAGTATTTAAACTAACCATGTGACGATCTAGAATGACTCGACTATCAACCCCATACATCTGGTTTCATTACGAGGGGCAGTATTTAAACTAACCATGTAATGATCTAGAATGACTCGACTATCAACCTCATACATCCGGTTTCATTACGAGGGGCAATATTTAAACTAACCATGTAACGATCTAGAATGACTCGACTATCAACCTCATACATCCGGTTTCATTACGAGGGGCAATATTTAAACTAACCATGTAACGATCTAGAATGACTCGACTATCAACCTCATACATCCGGTT